TGGTCTGAGGTGTGCACCGCCTTGCTGGTTTTGCCAATGAGGGAAGACAGCCAGGGAATGGTTGGGTGCTGCAGCTGGGGTACCATCCCTGGGCACCACCCCTGGGCAGGACAGTGTTGTCCTGGCAAGCTGACATAGTAAGAGACTCCAGGTTTCCAAGGTTTTGAACCTGAGCTTTGCCCCTCACTGGATGATCTTGAGCAAGTTGTATAACCACTCTCAGCCTCAGTTTCCAAACGAAGATAATAGTACTGACCTTACAGTGTTGTAGGGATTAGCGAGATCATGTACACAAAGAACCCTGGTCAGGCTGGGTGTGGAGGTGCATGCCCATAATCCCAGGACTTGGGAGGCTGAGGCAGGTGGATCGCTGTGAGTTCAAGGCCAGCCTGAACTGCATAGTGAGACCCTGTCTAAAAAGAAAAAAAAAAAAGAATCTAGATCAGTACCTAGTTATAGTAAGCATCCTTATAAATAGCAGAGGTGGTAATTAAGGTCAGGTGGTTAGAGAATAGCAGACCCCAGACCTCCCACTACCATTTACACATAGCAGACAGGACTCAGACCTCAAAGCAGAAGGGACTTTGACGCCGTGGACTTGAGAAACCAATCTGGCAGCAGCAATGGAGCCGCTGGTGAGAGTTAAAGACCTGGTGACATTTGGTCTCCACTCTATTGCTTATTGTGCCAGGTGTCCCCACCCCTCGTCCCACTTTGGACTTCACCAAAGCTGTGGCAGAGTGCCACCATGCAACGCCACATGCAGTGCCATGCAGTGCCCGGGTGCCACTCTATTTCCGCCTCAGATCTTTCTCCAGAGCCCAGCAGGTCATGTAGCTCAGGGAACTGTTTAAGTATCTGTTGTTCTGTAACAAACCACTCCCAAACTTTACAGGCTACTGTGCTCTGGACACGGTTTGTCCCCTAAAGGGACATTGACAGATGGAAGTTTGGTCCCTAACGGCACGGTCAGTACCATTACAGGTCCGGGAACCTTTAAGAGGTGGAGCCTAGTGGAGGTGATTAAGACATTGGGGAACCACTTTGGAAAGGATTAATGCCAGCGTCACGGGACAGGGTTAGGTCTAAAGGGACTGGGTTAGTTACACAAGCTTGGTTACACAAGCGGCTTTCTCTTGTTTACTCTCACCACGGGACACCTCTTTATCTTGCTCTCTCCTCCCCCTCCTCCCACCCTCATCTACTCCTATTTGGGATGTTCTCCACCTTGAGCACTCACCAGAAGCCAATGGCAATGCCGTGCTGTCAGACCTCCAGCACTGTGAGCTAAATAAGCCTTTTCTTTATAAGATAATCAGCCTCCAGTATTTTATTATAGCAACACAGAACAGACTGAAGCACAAGCTTACAACAGCAACAGTGGTTTATTTGCTCATTGTTCTGCAGTTTGTAGGTGGTTGGGCTCTCTGCTCCACATGAGGTTGGAACATTCGACAAGGGGGCTCAGGTGAGCCAATTCTCAGCTGAGCATCTCCGTGTGGCTAGTTTGGGCTTATTTACCCCACGGGTCTCAAGGTACTTGGCTTTCTTACACTGTGGCTGGCTTCCCCCAGAGCACAGAAGTGGAACATGCCAGGCCTTCTTAACACACATGGATTCAGAAATAGCAGGTCACTTTCATCATAATCCACTGATCAAAATGGCCCCGGGGTTGGCCCACATTCCGGGGGAAGGGACTCCACCTCTTGTTGGGGCAGCAGCGGGCTACTCTGCAGTGAAGACTGTGGAATGGGTGGTCTTGTCGTGGGTATCACTGGGCAGTACAGGAGCAGGAAGGAAGGGATCAATTCCCATGGGGCCATTTTGGGGGGTTATTTTTTGGGGGTACTGGGAATCGAACTCAGGACCTCGTGCCTGCCAGGCAGGAGCAATTCCACTGAGCTATATTCCCAGCTCCTATCAGTGGGGCCATTTTAAACCACCAAATATGGGAGGGAACTCATGGATAATGAAGAAGGCCCCGTCCTTCAGACAGGGGATACTGGGGGTTCTTCTGCAGGACTTTCCATGGGCCCCAGCAGGACCGAACCCAGGCTGCTCATGCTGGAATTAGCTCAAAAGTGTGCCTTTGCCAGACGGGGTGGCACACACCTGTAATCCCAGCACTCGGGAGGCTGAGGCAGAAGGATTCCTGAGAGTTTGAGACCAGCCTGAACTACAAAGTGAGCTCAAGGCCCGCCTGAACTGCATAGCGAGACCCTGTCTCAAAAAAAACAAAAACCAAAAAAAAAAAAAAAAAAAAGTGCTTTTGTGGCCTTTTCTTCTTTCCCCGCCTCTGACTCCTCCCTTTCTTCGGCTTCTTCTGACCCTCCCCTGGACCTAACCTCAGGCCTTGCTATCTCAGGATAGCAAAGCAAGACACTGGGTTTCCTCACGTGAGAAGGCCCTTCGGTTGGGCTGTAAATGCCCACACCTGGCTGCTGGGCACTGGGTAATCTCCCGCAGGAAGGGGTGTGAAAGGGCCCTGCCAATGGGATGGGCGTGGCTGGGGGGGGGTCACTGGAAGCAGAGGTGCTCCACAGGGAGGCGTGGGGTTCTGGGAGCTGCGGGGACAAGAGGCCCACCTCCTGACCACCCAGGAGTGCTGAGAGGTGAAGACAGGCAGTTAGAGGGGCGCAGACGATCCTCCTGTCCGTGCTGAGAAGGGGGGTGTGCCCATGCTGCCCTCCAGACTCAGGTGACTTGGCACAGCGTGAGGTGACTCACCAGGCCACCTCAGCCTGCCACAGGTCCCTCAAGATCATCCACCCTGTTCTGCTGGGCCTCGCCCTCGTGGAACAAGCCTTGGGCCCTGACTTGGCCTCCGTCCCAGAAAGAGGGGCACTGAATTGCAGAGGGCGGGGCCGGCACCCGCATTTAGTAAACTCGGGAGAGCGGAAGCCCTCATCTACGCAGGCCCTGGGGTGAGAGAGCAAAGGTGAACAAGCCGCCCCCTGCCACCTCCAGTGACGCCCCCACGAGGAGGGCGTGTGGGACCCGGAGACAGGGAACTCCGACGTCACCGCACAGGACAGAGGCAGCTGCTGCGGGAGGCGCTCACGGCCCTGAAGCGGGAAGGCCATCGGGCTTGCGGACAGCTACCCTGAGAAGCTGATGTACGGTGGACCCCAGCAGGGTCGGAGGACACGCCAGGACACAGAGGAAGGGCGTGGGCAGAGTCCAGGGGGAGGGACGGAAGGTGGAAGGGGAAGGAGAGAGCGGGCCCCAAGGAGAGCACGGGGCCCCCCAGCAGGTTCAGGGAGAGGAGGAGCGGGCAAGGCAAACTCCACAGACGCAGGCTGCTGCCGGGAGCCAGTGCTAGAGACAGGGAGACCAGCTAAGGGAGTCCACGCGTTCACTCATCAGATACCTGCGAGCCCCTTCCGGGGGGACCCAGGGCAGAGGACCCACACGTAGGGAGGCGCCCACAGAACCACACGCTGGCAGTCCCGGACAGTGGGACGCGGATTCGGAAATAGGGAAGCTGTTATTTCAAGAATGGAGCGGGCAGGTTGGCAGAGCTGAGAGGAAACCTCAAGGGCCGCCGGAGAGGAAGCCATCCCAGAGCTCCGCCCTCCCTCGCAGGGAAGCACCCTCAGGAACTCGGGGCCTCCAGGGCCCCGCTCGGCCCCAGCTGCTGTGCAGCCTCCCCTCCACCCCGCCTTCCCTTCCAGAAAGTTCCACACTAAGCTTGCCCATAGCTCCACCTGGCTCAGTCTGGCTGCAGTCTGTGCTTCCTCACCCAGGAGCTCCAGTCTGCAAAGCCAAGCCTCCCGCCGCCAAGAGAGCCCCGCTCTCCACTGCCAGATGGGGACGCTGGCGGAGTCGGACCCAGTGGCTTGGGCTGGGGGGGCACCAGGCCTCCGGTGTGCTGTCAAGGGCTCCCTGAACCGGTGCAGTGTGAAACACAGCACACGGGCCGGGCGCAGTGTGTGGGGCTCTTACCTTCAGGCTGATGGGGCCGTGCTAAAACTAGAGAAGCCGGGGCGGAGTGTCAGGTAGTCAGCCTCCGGACGGATGGGATTTCTTCCACTGGGACTCCAAACCCACAGTGCTCAAGAGTCCCTTACATAAAGCGCGCAGCACCTCCGTGCAACTGGCACACATCCTCCCATATATTTAAACCACCCCCAGCCTACTCACAGCGCCCATACCCCGTCAACGCCTAACCAGCAGTCGTCACGCTGGATGTTCCAGGGCATGATGACCACCGACCCTCCTGGCTCAGGCCTAGGTCCCCAGGACACATCAGCAACCTCGGGCCGCCTTTCCTTCACCCTTTCCAAACTCAGCTGGTTGAATTCATGCACCCGCTGAATCCCAGCGCCCCCCTGAAAAACTCGTGGAATCAGGAACCCTTGGTTTCCTTATCAGCTGGGTCTGGGGCCCCACGGAGCCTGGGCCAGGCCTCCTCCCCCCTCTCCCCAGCCCCCGGTGTCTACACCCTGGCCGGAGCATCCCACCCAGCCCTAGGCTCAGAAGGCCTGGTCTTTCCCAGAGCCCTCCGGCCCACCTACATGGAGACAGGAGCCCCTTCCAGACGGCCGACCTGCCCCGAACACCGGCTGCCTTTCTGCTGGCTGAGGGAGCAGCCAGGAGCTGGGCCGCCTGGTTGAATCCAGGCTCGTTTTTACAGAGAGGTTACACGGCGGCCTCTCTGTGCCCTGGGACGGAAGCCCCACCTCAGAGAGCTGCTCTGGGGTCAGAGGTGTCCCCCAGGCCCTACTGGGCGAGAAGTCTTTGGACCGGGGCCTGGAAAGTGGTAAGGGGGGGACTCTGCCACCACCCCCTACCCCTGGGCTCCTCCCTGACCCTGGCCCTTCCCCACCACGCTCCTCTTCTCAGGCCTGCTCCGCCTCCCTCGCCACCCCATCCTCTCCGTGTCGGCCTGTTCCGAGTCCTTCCGCCCTCTGTGGGCTCTCCCCAAGGCCCCTCCCGCCCCAGAGGCCCCCCCACCAGCCTGTCCCCCACCCCCCCACAGCACACAGCAGACACCAAGCTGGCCTGTCTATATTTTATTGTAAAAATGGTAAAATAAATTACATTTGCCGTCATTGCCAGGATGTACATACAGTGTGTGACTCCAGGACAGCCGGCACTTAGCCCGGCTCACGGAACCGCTCGCGGAAGCACACAGGCTGCTCCTCCCGCCCTGCGGCAACCGCTTAGAGAATGGGGAGGGCGTGGACACAGCCCCCCAGCCCCCCGCCGGCTCTCAGGTTGGGGGGTTCTGTCCTATCTTCCCCACAGCACAGGGGACAGAGGAGGGTCAGAGAAGGTGCTGGGCTTGAGGGTGGGAGCCTGGGCTCCTGCCTGGCAGTCAGCTGCCTGCCAGGCATCCCTCTCTAGCCTAACCTCAGCGTGCCCTCCCTTACCACGCACGGGGTCACGGCTCTCGACATCAGGACTTTGGCTCAGGGCAGCACGGAAGGCCCAGCTGCCTGGGGGGTGTAGGCATGCAGCAGGGTATGCGCCAGACAGCCCCAGTTCTCCAGACCCTGCTCTTCACTGGCTCTGAAGCCAACCACAGACTCATGTATAAAAACAGCAGTTCATGAGGAAAGAAACATATATAACAAAAACACTCAGGGCAAAGTGAGCTGGTCTAGGTGAGCGTCACTGATAACACAAGAACAGAGGCAGCAGGTCTACCCGCCGCCTCTCACCAGAAAGTTTCACATTATCGCTTCTCCCCAGCCCCAGCTCCCCTTCCTGACACTCGCGCACACAGCCGGAGAGAGGAGCTCCATTCACATTTTTGGCCACAGCCCACCTGAGAGCCAAGAGCAATTTGCCCCCCGCCCCATCGGTCTGGGATGGGAAGAAGCGGGGGTACCAGTGGGCAGCGAGGTCCTTGAGAACAAGGTCCTGTTCCCGCTGCAGCACTGCGATGCCCCGGCCCCCTCATCACAGCTGTCCCTCCCCAGACACCGGAGAGCTGGACCAGGCAGAAACCGGACCACGTGGGCTCCTCCCTCCCTCCCTCCCGGAGGTGTCTCTGGCTCCGTGCCAGCCCCACAGAGCTGCTCATTAACACTGGTGGACTCAGCCCAGCCCGGGCCACCGAGAACCGTGTGACAGTCCCCCGAGCACAGGGTGAAAAGCCACGCAGGACAGGCCCTCGCGGGGTCGGTCCTGCCGCCCACATGCCTCCAACCACTGGAGACACCGGCGCGCTCAGGACAGCAGCCTCCCCACCGCCAGGCCCGCGTGGCTGCGAGTAGAGGCCCTGTCCTGGGCCCGCGCTACATCCGTCGGAGGAGCATCGTGCTGGAGGGGATGGAAGGAGAACAAGGCCCTTGGCCCCCCGCTCCCGCTCCAAGGCTGCCCCTGTCTCAGGCGGGGCGGGGAGCCGGCCCTGCCTCACGTGCCCCTGGGGCTGCCGGCCTTATTGTACTCGTTCATGAGCTGCTCGTAAGGCACGGACAGCTCCGACTCGGTGCTGGTGAAGGTGGACTCATCTGACGAGGGGAACTCGCCCATGTTCAGGGGGGCCTGGGCCGTGGCCCCCTCCTGGGGCTGCTCCTCCCCGGCCAGGTTGTCCTCCAGCGAGGACTTGGAGGTCTCCTCATCCAAGAGGCCGGCCTCCTCGCTCACGAAGCTGATGTTGGCGTTCTGGAAGATGAGCGGCTGGTAGTCCAGGGCCTCCCAGGGCTCGACCTCCTCGCTGATGCGGTCCAGCTGGTTGCTGAAGGCCTCAGAGGTCGTCGGGGAGCCGGCCTCGGGCTCCCCAGCCTCCTCCCCGGGGGGCCTGGACATGTGGCCTTTGCTCTTGAGTGTCTGGGACACCTCCTCCAGGCTGGGCACCCGGTTCTTGGAGTAGACCACCAGGGGTGCCAGGGACGTGGGGATCGCTGGCAGCCCACTCCCTTGAGACCCCAGCCGGGGGCCTGGTGCTGAGACCCTCTCCCCAGCCCCGCTGCTCTTCATGGCCTTCTTCCCGATCTGCTTGATGAGATCGTTGTAGGTTTCCTCCTTCTTGGACAGAAAGCTGAAGATGTTGACGTCCTTGGAGGCTGCGCTTCCGGCCGCCATCTGCAGGGCCTTCTGGGAGTGCGGGGAGCTCTCGAAGGACTCCTTCCGCCGCCGTCGCCTCTTCTTGATGGCTTTGTGAACTTCCACAAACATGCTCACCTTCCAGTTGACAAAGAGAGACAGCCAGGCCAGCCCTAGATAGATCCAGAGCTCCACAAAGTAGCGGTACAGGGCGTGGTAGTTGGCGCTGGGGTTCACACCTGAGACAACAGGAGGCCCAGAGTCAGCAGGGGCCAGCAAGGCTCCAGACACATGCAGTGGCAAGGGCACAGCTTAGCCCCGGGCCATCCCCACCCCATCGTCTTCCCAAAGAACCATGGCCTGTCACTCATGCCCCCCCAACCCATCTCTGGGCCTCGGTTTCCTCAATCATAAAAGTAAGGAAAATTGCCAGGCACATCCCTGTAATCAATCCCAACACCCAGGAGGCTGAGACAGGAGGACTGCCACGAGACTGAAGCCAGCCTGGGCTATATAATCCGTTCAAAAAAGCAGAAAGTTAAAGAGGCTTCTGGGGGATAGGGAAGCGACAAACACCTGGGTCAAGAAACAGCCCATGCTGGGCTGTATGATGGCCCACACCTGTAATCCTAGTTCTCTGGGAGGCTGATGCAGGAAAATTCCCAGTTTGAGCCCAGTCTGGGCCACCTAGCAAGGCCCCGTCTTAAAATAAAAAATACAAAAAGGGCTGGGGATGGAGCTCAGTGCACAGGCTGAAGGTTCTAATCCCCACCCGAGGGAGAGGGATGGGGAGACGAAGGGAGGAGGGGAGAGAGAAACAGCCCACGAGTAGGTGCACTTCGGTCGTTCCACAACCAGCTGGGGTGTGAGGGAGGCAGCTCAGTTAGGGAGGATGGAGCTGTGTGACAGGCCTCTGGCGGCCGAGCTGCCGTTCTGGGGGAGCACTGGGAATGACACTGGTGCTTGGGTTGTGACGACCCAGGAGGCCTGACCTGGGTAGGCACATTCAGAGCTGTCTTCTGTCTCCTCCAAGGCCGCTCAGCCTCCCTGGCTTCCTGTTTCCGCCTTCCTGGGGCTCCTCCACTCTGAGACCTGCTTCAGGAGCCTCCAGGGCCCGCCATCCCGCCATCTCTGGTGGTTCTCCTATACGGCGGGGCCATCTGAGATCCTTTTGTGACTCTGCCCTTACAGCCGTGTTGCTCTATATCCCGCCTCCCCCTCAGAGGGCACGCAGCTTAGAGAGCTGGGGAGTGGTCACCTCCAGCCTCGGAGGGCAGGCGGCAGACCGGAGGTCCGTCAGGCCAGGGGCTCTGTCTGAGGGGAGCTGTCAATCTTGCTCGAGACTGGAGCATAGCAGACTGTGGCCTGACAGCGCTGGGGTCCTACCCCCTGCCCTCGGGCACAGTATAAACTGGCATCATTCCCTATCATCCCGGGTGCGGGGCACTTTTCTCCACCAGTGTTACAGATGGAAAAAGGGAGGCAGAAGCCTGGCGTCCTGCTGGAGCTGAGGGAAGAGAACCGCTGAGCTCCCCCAACACAAAGGCTTCTGGGCCAGCTGTGGGCCGAGGCGCCGGACAAAGGGAGGACTGTGCCTTGAATTCCTCTCTGCGACAGCAGGCAGCCCTGATTCGCCAGGCCCGGTGGTGTGTTCAGGCCACTCCTGTTCCTCCCGCCCCTCGGCAGCCCCTCCCAGCACGCCACACACAATGGGGGCGACCTCCCCTGCCCTCCGGGTCAGGAGCTGGGGCACAACCAGGCCGCAGAGCAGAGGCGGGGTTGGCCCAGCACCGCAGGGTCAACAGGCCTGAGCTTGGTGTCAGGAAGATGAAGACCTAGAGCCGCACAGGCCGCAGGCCCAAGTGCAGGAGCGCCCGGGGCTGAGTGAGGATTAAGTGCAGGAGGAGGAAGAGAAGGGCCGCACCGAGGGGCGGGGCAGGGCGGGCGGCTGGGAGAAGGCCACCCTTGTCTCGAGCTGCCTGTGGCAAGGGCAAAGCTTTGGCCTCGGACTGAAGCCCCTAGGGCAGCTCCCGCACTCAGCTCCACTCCGCGTGGGCCTCTGGATAAAAGGCCAGCTTGGGGTAGGCGGCCTCACGCCTGGGCCCGTATATGAGAAGGTGAGGAGTCGAGCCAGGGAACGGCAGCAGGGACTCACCGGCCACAAAGTCACCGAAGCCGATGGTGGAGATGGTGATGAAGGAGTAGTAGAGGCCCTCGATGTAGTCCCACTCCTCCGTCACCATGAACACGAAGGGCGGGATCACCAGGTGGACCAGGACGCCCCACAGGATGAAGATGGCTGTGCACGTGATCTGCGCCTTCCGCTGTGGGGAGGCAGGAGACCAAGTCAGACGCTGGCAGAGTCCGGAAACCCGGCAGGGATGCCCAGAAGGCCGGGAGGCAGCCAGCAGTGGCCTCCTGGACACCGAGCCCAGGGAGGCGGGGACAGGGCCGGGGGTGCGGAAACTGCCACCTGCCCCAACACCCCTGTCCAGTTCTTGAGGACTTCCTGTCCCCTCACCTCTGCCCAGCACCCAGAACTGGGAACATACCAGGCTCACGCCTCTCCTGGTGAGGAACTGGCCTAGCCTCTTGGCGCGTCCTCCGAAGAACTTGCCCAGGGCACTGATCCACGTCAGGCAGAGCGGCACCCCGAAGAGACCATAGAAGACGCAGAAGAGGCGGCCAGCCGGGGTCTTGGGAGCCACATTGCCATAACCTGAGGAAGGAGAGGGCGGGGCTGAGGACGGGGCCACAGCAGGCGTGATGGGCCCTCCCACTTCGCCACCCACACACAGCTGGGTCCCTCCCTGCCTCCTACTGGCCCATCCTCAGCACCCAGCCTGAGGGAAGTCTATTCTCTGAGATCAATGGACACAGATCTAATGTTGACACTTAACTAATGGCCCTACCGTTTACTCAGCAGTTATGATGGTGCAGCCTTTGTCTCCTCCATCCCTCTGGAGCTCCCTGAAGGGAGGGGCTAAGCCTCCACCTCAGCAGGTCCTCCTCCTGGTCCTCATACTCACCGTACCTTGTGGTGCCAATCAGACAGCAGAAGCCCTAGTGGGCAGTCTGCAAAGATGGCCACTCTCAACCCACTTCCTTCCTACGCACGGTCCCACATTAAGGTGGAGTCTCACTTGCCTCCCTTCGCATCCGGGCCTCCTGATTTGCTTGACCACAGAAAACGGCGGAAGTCGTGCTGGGCAGGCTAAGGTCTGACAATCGCTGCTCCTCCCAATTCTTTGAAAACTCTCACTCTGTGGATCCCCCTTAGAGTCCAGCTGTCACACTGTCAGATGCCTGAGCCACGCCTGCAAGCCTCTTGCCTTCCTCCTAGGCTGAGGAAGCGGACGGCCCGGCCAACAGCCAACGCCAGCTGTCAAACGTGACAGCACCAGCTTGGACACCAGGCTCGACGGAAGAGAACAAACCGTGTGTGTCGTAAGCCACTCGCTTCTGGAATGGTTGACAGCGCAACCAGAGAGAATCGGGGTGTACGCAGGGGGCAAACTTATCTGCACGGCTTAGGCCGTTGGGCTGGGGGCCGTTTCTGCCCAACGTGCCCAGGTCAGGATCCACGGAAACAGACTCAAAGCAAAGCCAGTCATGATGGCCTTACTAACATTAACAATCAGAAGGACAGACTAACTGCTGGATTTTACCCCCAACGCGGCTGAGTCACCTGGATTGGATTCTTGCATGATTCCAAGGAGAGAGGGCACGGAAGTGGGCACCCTTACCAATGGTCGTGATGACTGTGGCCGCAAAAATCATCGCATTGGGCCAGTTCCAATTGTTGAAGGTCTGGTTCCCCATGATGGCCACACCCTGTCCCGCCGCATCAGACACCACCTGAAAAAGAGAGTGAGATGACAAAGGTCAGAGCCCAGGCCAAGTGTTAGGCTACTTAAAAGCATCTTTGTTTGATCATCACAATAACAAGGTGGCAGCTGGTGCCTGCTATGGTACAGATGAGACATTTTATAGAGAGGGGCAGAGGTCAAGCAACTTGCTCAAGGCCACCCAGCTGGGTGAGGGTATGAACCCAAGCAACCTGGCTCCCGAGTTCAACTTACCAGGGTGAGCCAGCATCCCGGACAGAGTCATTAAACAGCCAGCTGGGCCCCACCCTCAGGGTGTGACTCAGAAGGTCTGGGAAGGGTTATTCCTAACAAGGTGGGAGCTGGAGCCATCACACACGGGCCATACTCTTGAGTATCACCGCACTGCCCTGTTGTGTTTCTGAGTCAGATGAGACAAGGACACACAAGAGGTCCCCTCCACGTCACTTGGCAGAGGCCAGGTCCCCTCTCCAGCACTGGCCAGGGGAAGACCTCGAGCCCCCACGGCCCTCTGGAGGTTCCCTCTAAGGTTTGCTTGGGGCCCTGCTGACCTGGCCCCGGGACCTGTCCTTGGAAGGCATGCAGACCCACTAGCCTGCGGACCTAGTAGGTCCGCCTTTCTCCATCCTTCCGCGCAACCCACCCCTGGGGAACTATCAGCGGCTGAAGCTCAGCCCCAGGAGTCCCCCAGGCAAAGGCTGTCGATCAAGGGTTCAAGTCCTATCACCCAAGGAAAGCCCCAGGATGACCCATCCCGGCGAGACCTGGAACTCCGTCAAATTCCCTGTAAATCCGAGCCAAAGAAAGCAGAAGAGTCCGAGCGGAGGACGGAGGCGGGGAGCCGGGGCAGCGCGTGGCTCACCTCCCCCGGCAGGGCTGAGGTTTGGTGGGAAAGCGGGAATGGGTGGATCGCGCAGAGGAATGTGCAGTGCGCAGAGCAGCAGAGGCCGTGGAAATGGATCTGCACACTCTGGGAAGAATTTTCCATGATGACATGCTCGTCTGACACACCAGCAAACCGCACACATGACTTTCTGCCCTGAGCCTTCCTGGCAGCTCCAGAGCACCTCCGAAGCCCGAGAAGCATCCTTTTCCGGGGGACACGGAAAACGGGGTTCTGCAAGCAGAGAGCTCGCAGTGTAGCCAGACAAACCACTGACACATGAAATAACCAGGGGACACTGAGATACTAACAGGCCCCAAAGGAAAACTAAAATGTGAAGGAGCAACCGAAAAAGTGTTTTTGTTTTTATTTTCTTCCAGCGCTGGAGGTTGAACCCAGCCGGGGCCTTGTGCATGCGGGACACATGCTCTGCCACTGAGCTGCCTCCAGCACCAAAAGGCTTTGGAAAAACCTAAGCCTGCGCTTGGAGCAAGGGAATGAGGAAGTACCAGGGCCCTGTGTGTATTGACGTTAAACAGACGGAGAGAAAGCACAGCCCCGGTCAGCTTCCCTCTGCCTCCGCCTCTGTCATCCCAGATACGGATCTTCAACGAGACGGCTTAAAATAAAGCAGACACAAAGCACACCTTCAAGGGGAATTGAATCACTCGCCACGGAGGACACAGGGTCACCGCCTCTGGTCGCCCCAGGGGTTTGTGGGGAACAGAGAAGATGGCAGAAGACAAGGTGTCCCCACATTCACACAAGAACAGCGGGAGAGTTCTAGAAACTGGAAAGCAAACCCGTGCTCTCGGAAGCTTCTGAACAGGGAAGAAAGGGTGACCGGAGCACTCCGCGGCAGCGATGGGAACGAGAAGCTCATAAAGATTCACCGAGGACAGGTCATGCTGGCCTCTGAGTGCGTCCCCTTCTGCACAGCCTTGAAGCCCTGTGGAATGCGGTCCATCTAGATTTCAGCAAGGCGGTCACAGATGGGCTTAAAGATACCCTTGTGAGCCGGGGAAATGTAGGGTGGAGCCGGGACTGGCTGGGTCCTCTCAGAGGCAGACAAGCAACAAGCCCAATCAGTACTGGTCACTATCAATCCACACTGAGGTCTCCATGATTATCTATCCCCAAGGCCTGGACGCTCACATTTTTATCAGCAATACAGTGAGGATATTGACAGCTTCCCAATCCTATGTGTAGAAGATGTAAAATTCAGGACGAGTGTGGAGGGGGAAGGGACTAACAGGGCAACGGCAATACTGAGACTCAAAATCATGTGGACAGAAAACACAGATCAGCTGGGCACAGTGGCTCATGCCTGTAATCCCAGCACGGGAGGCTGAGGCAGGAGGATCACCGGGAGTTCAAAGCCAGCCTGGGCTACACAGCACACTTAAGGTCAACCTGAACTACACAGCAAGACTCTATCTGAAAAAAAAAAAAGGAAAATACAGACCAAAATTAAGAAGAAAGTGTAAATAAGTCTTTTAAATTTTTCAAATCTTACACTTTAGATCCGAAAAGAGCAGGACAGCACCAAAGGGGAAAGTCCTTGGTTTTAGCTGACCATAAGTCAACAAATACAAGGTAGCTGCCAAGGGAAAAGTAAACATAATCTCAGGCTGCGTGAACGCGTATCTTCCCGGGCAGGAGGACTGGGCCCATTGTTCTGCAGGGTCAGGGCACCCGTGAGACACTGTTCCACTCTGGGTGTTGGACTTCACACGACATGAAAACCAACGGGCCAAGGGCCAAGAGGAGACAGGTGGCTTTGTGGATAAGGACCTACCTCCCAAAGGGCTGCCCTCCACAGATTTCTGATGCTGTAAAGTATTCAGACCAGCGCTGAGCGCCTTCCATAGGGTGCTATGTGGCAGGACTGCTTTAGGGGCTCTCGCTGGGGGAGAGCTGCAGAAGCTGCAGAGCTGCGAGTGGACGGGATCCCTGCCCCTGCTCCAGATGGACAACTGGGCAGGGGGCCAGTGATGCTGAATGCCTGCAACCCCCGGGACAGCCCCACCCACAATGCCAATGCAGCTTCCCCAGACACCCTGACTTCCCAAACATAACCGTCCAGTTGGGAATGACTTAGAAAAGTACCAAGCAGACACCAAAACACGAGAGCTGTTAACACAGGGTCCCTAAAGAGAACAGAAGGTGGGAGCAGGGGAGGTGGAAAGGCTGGGCTTTTTGACCTTCACAAACCCCGCCCTCCCCCAGGAGAAGGCCGGTGTGCATCCTCTGAGTAACAGCACCAAGCCTCGGCCCTCGCCCTCGGTTACCACGGAAGCAGGCCTCAAGCTTTCCGCATGACTTCCGTTATCTCTTCAGCCTCCCCCATGGCCAGTCAGAGGAGCCACACCAGAGGGCCCTGAAGGTCACAGTGCTAAAAGCAATGGCGGCAGTGACACCCATGGCCACTGGGCAGGGAGGAAACATGGCAGACCAGGGCTCCACGGTGCAGGCCGCTTGGGTTTACAGTCTGCACAGCGGGCTCCCCCAGGGCCTCAGCCACCCGTGGTTCCCAAGTAGCCAGGCTGGGAATCAAGCATGGCTCCACCCCAGTGCCAGGACAGGGAATGACACCAGTGCCGCTGTGTGTCACTTAGCTTCCCCACGGCTCTTGCATGATACAGCATGGTGCAAACCGGACGCAGGAGAGGAGGTGTGGAAGTGGACTTGGGGTGCCGGCTCCCTGCCCCACGTGTAGCGGTGGCTCTGGCTGGGCTGTGATTCCACAGGACGAGGAGAGCCTTAACCGGTCTCCCAAGACGGAGGCCATCCCTCGGCCAGGCAGAGGGCGTGCAGGAGCCAGAGAAACACCCTGTGAGACAAGACGCCCCGTCCTCGGGTTAGGGAAACAGCTTCGCCGGAGGGGGCGGCCCCTGCTCGCTTGTGGGACTCTTTAACTTGGCTCCCGAATTCACACAAGACAATATTTTCACTTTCCCCCCACGCCTGCAGAGCGATGGGAGAAGGCGGCCCGCACACGCCCCGGGCCAGGCTCTTGTTTGGGGAAGGAGTCGAGTTCCCTGCCTCTGTCACCTTCACCATAAAGCGCTGTGATTTACCGAGGGCTCGCTGCGTGCCAAGTGGTGTGCTCAGCATTTTACGCGCCTCTCGCTCATTTAATGAGGACAGGATCCTGCTGGGAATACTATCACTTTTTCCACTTTGCAAATGAGGACTTGAGGCTTCAAGAGGTTACGGAAGTAGCTTGAGGTCGGTGGTAGTGCTAAAAGCGACGAAGCGGGGACTAGAACCCAAGGCCATCTGGGTCCTAACCACTGTGATCCTACCCCTCTCCCCGCAAGGGCCACAGGAAGGAGGCACGCGCACACTTCCACCTCCTCCCACCAGCTGAAAAAACAGTGCCCTAAAACCAGCCCAGCCACCCCACGCCAGCGCTGCAAGCCAGCGACACCCGTCCCGTGTGAGGAGCAGGAGACGCCGGGTGCCACCTTCCCAGCCTCCACACAGCCTGGGTTCCCCGGTGACCCTCACCCTCGTGAGACTCTGCCGTTTCCCATGCAGCTCCCCTTCCTGGAGGAGACTCAACCGGACAGCTGGGCACACCCAGGGCTTTGGGACACGCTGCCTGCCTTCATGAGCGGGCAGGTCAGGGCCTTCCCCGTCACGCGTTGGAGCAGGGGAAACTAAAGCCAAAATATGAGCCCAACTCGGGTCACAGCTCTTTGGCACCCACGGAGCGGCTCCAGACCCTGGCTGCAGCTCCTGCCACTGCCATTTCTTCCAGACCACAGAAAACTTTCCACAACCTGCCTGACTCCAGCCTCCTAGGGACCCACGGGGTGATACTGGTTCATAAGCTGAACCTCCGGACCTGTCACTGGCTGCTTGGTGCCTCTGCCTGGAAGGTGAAGTAGGGCTAACTAATGAATCCTCCTGTGCGCATAGAAGAAACCTTACCGTTCCACCTAGCCCTTCCAGCCAGCCTGCCCTCGCCCCAGCAGAGCGGACGGTCGGTGGCGGAGCCGGATGAAACCCTGGCAGTGCAGCTCTTGACCACTGCACTCGGTATAGACAGGGAAGGAAATGCCTTGTTACCAGTGACGCTGGGGCTAGAACACACCATCCAGGCACCTGCAGGGGAGACATCCGCAGGAGTGCAGGGACTCCCGAGAGCTGAGCTCCACGACACAGGGACGTGTGTCATGTGCTTTTCTCCTGCTGCATTCCCACAGCCTGCCACAGGGCCTGGCGCACGGGAGCTGCTCAAAAAATCCTCGCTAAACGAGTCTGAATGAAGGAGGGTATTCCACTGGACCTCCACACCCCCAACACCTTGCGGCGTCCTTCTGAAGTTGGGTTTTAATGGAATTCTTCAGCAAGAAGGAAAGCTTTATCCAGCAAGGAGGCAGGATGAAGAGGCGCAGGAGGAGGCTGGAGGCAGAGCCACTGAAGCCAGCAGCCTCCGATCAGCGGGTGCATCACCAGGCCAAGAGAAGGTGGGCTGGGCTGGGGTCACTGACTTCATGGCTCTGCACTGTCAAAGCCCCAGCGTCCTCATCTGAGAACAAGCTGAGCACCCGTCCTCGCCGCAGCCCCTCTATCCTCATGGAAGTAGTTCAAGAAGCAGGATGAGTCCTGGACGGAAAACGAAAGGGAGGCGGGAAGTGCAGGAGGCAGACAGAGCCCCAAGGAAGGGGTCCAAGACAGCAGAGCAGAAGTGAGGCCGGGAGATGCCCCCGGGGCTGACCAGGATTGTCCTTCCCGCAGGACGGGAGGCTGTCCCTCCAGAAACTCCCCACCACGGCGCAGGGGACACGCAGAGGGCAGAAAACAGAATATACGTCAGTGTGGACTGAAATACTTACAAGCAGCGGGGCGCTTTCCTCACTCAACCCCCACCAGTCTCGCCGGGGAACACTCAGTCCTCTCCCTGAAAGGCCGCCGCAGGACTGACAGGGCTGTCCCAAGGGCAGATCCTGCGCACCCTAACAGTGGGCTGGAACTGGGCTCTCCCAGTGGCCACCAGCCACTCTCTGGGGGTAAGAACTTGCCTCTCGGCCTCCGTTTCTCTATGTGCCCCCAGCCCCCAAATTCCATCTACTCTGAAAGCACCCGGGACACAGAAGGTGCTGGATAGGTGTGGCGTCTGTCATGTGTGCAGTCTGGGAAACCAGACCCTGAAGTGACCCAGGAGCGAAGACTGTTCACCCCCAAAGCTGGACCGTGGGGACAGGCGCACCCTGGACAGAGGCCAGAGGGTCTAGGTGTTCGTAGCCTCCTCATGCAAGACCGCACTGTGTGAGGCCAGGAGACGCTGTCCCCGACCACCCTTGCACCTGCACCGGCCACCTCTTCCCTTCCCATCTCAGCAATCAGCTTTCTCGGGACATTTGGGGAAGGAGCAGAAGCACTGTGGCCCCGCAGGCGTTGCCTGGCACCTGCCAGTCGGGAGTCAAGGGCAGGCGAAAACAGGCACGCCCAAGGTATCCCAGCCCTGTCCCGTGGACGGCGGCCACCGCACCTGACCACTGCCCGCCCACAGGCTCCAGCCATCCTGACTCTCTTCCCGTCCGACCAAGCAAACTCGGCAGGACATGCCACCACCGGCCCCCTCCCTGCGCTCCCAAGTGAGGCCAAGGCCAGGAGCAGAGGGGGGCAACCTCTCTCAACTTGGGTCCCAGCTCCCCTCCAAGCTGTCCCCAGTTGCCCAGGGCAACCAAAGGCCCACGTGCCACTGGCCTCTGAGCTGGGCTCACCTCCACCACTGGTGTCTAACAGGGAACCCTTTGGGAGGGGAGGAGGGTGGAGTCCACAGGTGCAGTTCTCGGCAAGGCAGATTAGAAAGCCTATCGTGGATACTAAATAGGCGAACACCTGCAGACTGGGCATGCTCAGTACCACAGTGTTCAGACAGTTTAAATCAATTCTATGCCTGGGTCCCACCTACAGTGACACTGTTGACCTGGACACAGGTTTTTTTCAAAGTTCCCCCACAACGAGAAGTTCCAGAGCGGACTCTAAAGTGCAGCAGCTGCCTTAGTGGAGGGTGCCAGGGCAGGGAGAAGGAATTCTTGGTATTTTCCTCACTGCCCTCGGGCCTAGCCCAGGTGACTGGGGTGTGGCTGGGAGGGCAGCCGTAGTTCACAGGCATTGGCGAGGTACTGGTGCCACCCTGATCCCTGCACCAGCTGCAGGCCCAGCTTGCCCGGGAGGCTCTGCCTCTCCCAGGCGGTGGACCTTGGCAGGCAGAGCCACAGCAGGTCTCCCTGAAGATCACAGCTACTTCCTGTTTTGTTCGGCTGCATTTTCAGCCCTGCTGCAATCCTACAAGGAGTACTTATCATGACTTTAGCAGCGGAGAGACAGGTCAATCGCTGGAGCTTTGGTGTGCCAGATATCGAGAGAGGGCCTGAAGACCCGTGTTCAGCTAGGCCGCACTAGTGTCTTGGAATTCTCTAAGACCGCTCATCTCTCTGCCTACCTCTCCCGGGATTTCCGGGCCCAGACAGAACCTGCCTGTCCCACTCCTCCCCACCACAGCACATGCAAGAAAACACAATTTCCACTCTCAGGATTCAGCTTCCCGGCCACCAGCCCCAGGTCCTTCAGGTCCCCAGCAGGTCAGGCTCCTGTGCGAGAAGCCCCACTCCCAGGCTCACTCAGGCGTGCCTTATTTGCACGGATCCTGCTCAGGCTGGAGAGGAGGCCCCTGTTGTCCATGGCAGGCTTTGATCCTCCAAGCGATGAGCTGGGTGTGCGGCCTGCTATCCCTCAGCCCAAGGAGGAGGCAGCCAGCCAGCGCACAGCCTAAGGCAGCACAGATGGGGCTGTGCAGAGAACAGAACCCCCAGCACCCAAGCCTGGGAGCCCAGGCGACCCCTCAGGCCTGGTGAAAAGCGGTTCACCACCCCTACACTCAAGACGCACTTGAGTGGTCACCAGAGAGCAAACCCCTTAGCCTGCAGGAGTTATGCTGGAAGTCCCTAAGTAGATGCCTGAAAAACAATGCAGAGCAGTGCACCCCGCAAGTTACTTGAACACAAGCACAGTGATACCGTGACAGTCCATCTGATAACCAAGACAGCGACCAGGGGACTAACAGGCAGGCGGCGGATACGGCAGCGTTACGATGGATAACACGATGATTCATGCCCCAGGCAGGATGGAGGGGAAAACACGAAACATCACCGTGCTACTCAGAGAAGCATGCCATTTAAATGCCACAGATTATTTCTGGAATTTTTCATTTAGTATTTCTGGACCCCACTGGCTGCGGGTAACTGAAGCCGGAATCGCAGGAAAAAGGGGACCAGTGTCCTGCTGCTTCTCAACCTGGACTGTATGTTCTTTTTTTTTGGCGGGGGGCGGTGTTAGGAGACAAGGTCTTACTATGTTGTTCAGGCTAGGCTTAAACTTCACTATGTAGCTCAGGTTGGCCTCAATCTCGCAGCGATCCACCTGCCTCAGCCTCCTGAGTGCTGGTATGACAGGCGTGCCCCACCATGCCTGGCACTGCATGTTGATATCATGTGGGGAGCCTGGAAAATACTCCTGCTGGGTCATACCCCAGAAATTCCAACCTGGGAGCCTAGTACTTCAAACTGCCCCACCACTCCAATAATTATACTCAGCCGATTTTCAAAGCCACTGCGCGTGACCCTAACAGATCAAGGCCGGCCTCAGAGTCAGCACACAGCCATGTGCACAGCTGTACCATCCACCTGCATGCAGGTTCCCCCAACACCCTCCTGGGCCATGTCTCAGCAGCCTCTGCTGAGCCGGGAGGCACGAGAGGTCTCACGCTCACGGGGCCAAACCCGGGCCAGATGGGAGCAGGTTTTCAGCAGAAACCTCTGGGTTTCCGACTTTCACAGGCCTGGGAGGCCTGTCCTCACTCGGAGGGACAAAGAAAACAAGGCAGGTGACCCCGTGTGCATTGTTCTCAGGCCCTGCAGCCAGGCGCCCGCCAGTGAGAGCCGAGCCCGGGGCAGAGCTGTGAGGCCTGGCTGACCTGGGAGGACACCAGGCTGGTGAACTGGTGGGAAATCCCAGGAGGGTGAACCGGTGGGAAATCCCCAGGCTGTGGACACAGGGGGCCTCAGGGGCCGGTCCCAGTCCCACAGCACCACTGCCTACCTGGGAACTGGCCTCGGGGAACAGGAAAGAGCCCATGTTCTCAGGGTCTGCCCTGCCTCATGTGCTGAAGGACAACGTCCAGGGGCTCTTACAGACGAGAGGGCTGTCCTTCACCCCGGCAGCCTCTCTGCTCTCCAATCCACAACCACTATTCTGCCCTGAGGCCATGGCCTACAGTTCCGGGCCTGTGCTGGTGTCTATTCCCTACCTGGGACACTGGGGCCTGGCTTTGTGGTCTGACCCCCTCTCCCCCAGAGTCAGAGCACTGGGGTGTCTGGCATCTCTCTGCCCTGCCTGACACCCAGAGGCATCTCCCAATACTGGGTCACCAGCCCGAGGGAAGGCAGGGCAGCTCCCATGGGAGTGCGGCTCACGAGGGAGTGAGTGGCCTTCCTTCCAGGGTGGGGTCAGGGCTCCAAGAAGAGTCCCCCGGGCTGCACTTGGGCCCTGGGTTGTCCTTTGTGGGCAGCAGCACCCTCCCAGGCCTGCCCACTCACTCTTCCAGGTCACCGTGGGGGACAGCATGAGTCCGCATCGCCCTCCTCCCCTGACCCCAGGGCACCAAGCACCTGTGACAGCTGTAACTCCTCTGCCACCATCTCACCAAACACACAGGACCTCGAAGGGAAGCCAGGCACAGCGGATACCCCAATCCAGTTCGTAGATGAGGAGTCTTCGGAGAGGGCTAGGGACAAGGCTGACACCACAACAAAATGGTGACAGAGCACAGAAGAACCTACCAGAGGTCCCCTAATTCCCAGGAGGGTTTCTTTTCACAGAAGCAGACTACCCACCCTGACCCTGGGGCCAGGCTGAGAAATAAATGCCAACCAAAGCACAGCAGGAAGGTGACAGTCACACAGGTGACTGGTGCAGAGTGGACGGGCTAGGACGTGCCATTGTTGGGTGAGCACATGTTTCTGCTCCCCACCTCAGGCCTTGCGGAGTTACCCTGACCTTAGAGAGGGGAGGAAGGAACGACCCAGGAAAGTAACCAGCCACGCAAGGTTTCCAAAAACAGCCCTCTGAGCAGGCCGCAAAGGAGGTCACGGAACTGCTGACCTGCCCGCCGCCTGCATCCAGGGCTCCGGCTCCGGGCGAGATGTGGAGCAGAGCCGCCACCCCGCACCCCGCCACATGCCTGCTTGCCTCTGTCCTCCCAAGCCTAGGTCCTCGGGGGACCCGCAAGCTGGGATGGCCGGTCACGTCAAAACCAAACGTCCAGCTGCAGCAGCACAGAGCAGAAAGGAAAGGCCTGGTTCTGGAGCAGATGCAGCGGGTGCCACACCCCAAGCTGGCCTCCACCTCACACGTCTCCCCACACAGGCTGCGCCCCACCTAGTGCAACCCACACCTGCCCCTCCTGCCCCTCACTTCCCGACAGGCCACGGGGCATGGCATGTTTCTCTGGCCTGCTAGCATCTCTTTGAAACAGACCAGTGCTCCGAAAATAGATCTCACCCACTCACCCCTAAGCACACAGCAGAACCTAGCACCAGTGGTGCTCGCTCTCTGCCAATGAATGGTGAGGTCACCATGATGCTTGCTGCTGTTGGGATTTATGTGGCTTCTGGCTGCAGGGCTGAGGGGGGTGGGAAGCCCTGACAGGCACGGGCAGTATGGGAAGAGGCCAGTTTCCAGGCCCCAGCGCCTGTCCTCCATCCCAGAGGTCTTCGCCCAGTGAGTCAGCTCCCTCGTGGACTTTGAAACCAGATTCCAGAGGAAGGAGACAGGTGGGAGGGGACAGATGGGGTGGCCAAGCCCGGGATGTCCAAGGGGGCTGAGTACCCAGTGGCCGCAGGTCTCCCCAGCCCCAGCGTTGGGCTTGTCCTGGCAGTGGAATGGAAGCAGGCGCGGACGCCGCAGTGTCTGAGCCTGGCGCTGCTCAGAGTCCTGTTCTGCTGGGAACAGGTGCCTGCCCTGGGCCACCTTGCAGGGGGTTCTCAGCACAAGGTTTCCCAGCTTCTTTCTTCTCTTCCTCCTCCTGTGGCTGGCAGCTTGGGGTAATAAGTAACTACCCATCCTGAAGGCCTGCGGTTCTGACGATAAGGGCTTATGAAGCCTATCCATTTGCTGTAATTGGCTTAAGACGACCAAGTGGTTAAACTATAAACCTTTTCACTAATTAAAAAAGAAAAAAAGCCCAGAGGGGTCGTAGGCGGTGGTACCAACCCTGGAAGGAGCCGAAAGTCTCTGTTCCTAGGAAATAGCCTGTTTAGGACAAAACACCTTCTACCCACCCCCCACCCCCGCGTCCCCAAGGAGCTGTCCAGGGGGCTGTGCCCGTCTCCTGGCGTCCCAAGCATGATCGCGCGCCCGCAGCCTTCTCAACAAAGCCCCCTGCAGCAACTTCCCGAAAGCCAGCCACCTGTCACGCAATCCTTCCTTATTGTCTGACTCTAACCCAAATCCCCAGGGCTGCGGTCCAAGCCCATTTCCTCTGGTTCAGTCTCCAGCTGGAGGCACACAACAGCTGGCCTTCATCTTCTCTGGAATAAATTGTACAAGAAACTACCAGCAACCCAG